ACGCCGCCACGAACGAACGTATTAATCAGCCCAACCTTCTGCACCATTCGCAACTCCTGCAGTTCAGCTTTGGTAGTGGAGTGGACAACAAAGCCACGCTCTCTATATATTCGCTCTTTACACTGGCATCTTTTAATCGTGTCATGGTTTAAACGTGGTGGTGAGGCTAGTCTGAGACGACATGAACGACTGGAAGCAAAGTGGATTTCCCTATAGTACAGAGAAATCAAACGCAACTGAGCTTACCGATCAAAAAGAGTGCAAATTTTATGTATCTATCCTGTATCAATGCTTCTTTTACTGAAGATAGTGTATGCTCTCGGGCAAGACCCTACAACCCATCTCCAGGTGGCTGAAATCGCCTTAAAGGCAGCACCCGCGTTCATTTGATGTTTCTACGCCCATAGATATCGTAGCTTTGTCGACAAGGGTGGAGGATGTACTAATTTCGCAGCTCAAAAATACGAGAGGATGCCGCCCCGCCCACCTGGCTGCCATAACTGCTTTGGCTTAGCCTTTAAAGGCTGAGCCCGCTTTCAAGAATAGAGTTATGGAGCTCATATAATACGTGATCCAGTAGTGAAGAAAAAAGCAGAAAAAAATCATGGAAAATGCCCTATATAGAACCCTATGCTGGCCAGGTGGGCGGGGCGGCCGACTCTTCACTAGCGAACGGCGCTATCCTCTCGCCTTTTTGAGATGCAAAACTAGTACATACTGCATCCTCATAGGGAGGGCTATGATATCCAGAGAGGGCGCGGGAACATCAAATGAACGTGGGCGCTAGTGAAGAGTCGGAGTTTGAAACACACCACCATGTACTTGCTCCGAAAACTCTGGCAGATTAAAAGGATGGACTTTCTGTCTTTGCTGCGCTGAGTCGATTGTCATATCCCGTTTTGGCTAGAGCGCACTCATACATGCTTTCTTGTTGCGTTCTCCGTGTAAACGCTGATGTCCTGCATACCGGCTCGGCCACAGTTTTGCGTTCACTGTGATATGACTGCTGTGGAGACGCTGAGCGCAGTCTGTCTGTTTCCAAATCCGCTTCATGATACTGTGAAAGGAGTTACAAAGATTTTCTCCCCACTGCACCTCTAAACTCAATCCACAGTACAGCAGCACTTCAAACGATTTACGCCAGTGGATTCAGCACATGTGGTAGCATGGCCGAGGTTAGAAATATGGGTTTGCAGAATCGATGTCAGGGAAACGGATTCTCTTTCACATTATCCCAACGCTTTTCCTCACAGAAGTAGTCTTCAATAGTCTTTTCGTGTCCGCTCGATCGTAGTCGCCTTTTTGGTGAATTTGACTTCGCCGCTACCGAACTTTTCCACCTTAAGTTCTTTTTCCATGTGAGGGGTTACTTTGAACTACCTTCAACAGACTGCTGGGGCAACAGTCTAGAGATCGGTTGCGGATCGCCAGCCGCTGTGGATGCAGCAAAAGAATACCAAGAGCCGTGGAGACTTATTGAATGAGAGAACTGAATTGAATTGGCAACATAAAAACACAATTGTAGTCGTGTTTCAATGCAACGTACATTGCGCGGGATATTGTGCGAGGCAATACATGAGATGCCATCACGTATAACATAGAACCCTTAAAGAGCTCCTCTCTGAGGTTAACGAGTACTGAGGCTTTCGAGGTCTCGGTCGTCGAGCTGGAGTCGGCGTTGAGATCATCGAGGCGGCTCGGCAGGCATCGTCAATGCTGCAACATTGTCCTTGCTCGTAGAGTCGAACAGCGATAGATCGAGCACTTCCGAGGGCGTTTGTCTTTGTTGTGTTGGTCTTCGATCGTAACCGGTCCATATGTTGCTTCCGCAGCGTATAGCGTAGGCAATGCTTCCAACGCGGCGAACGATGATACCAGGTGTCCACGCTGGCTTCGGTCCTCCATAATCCTTGGCTAATACGGGATTGTTGAAGTTGAAACTGCTCGTCGTGCTCCATTTCAACAGTTGAATTGAATTTCCATCTTAACGTTTTTTGCTCCCGTAATGACGTTTTTTGGCGGTGGCGTTGACTCGGGTTTGTTCAAAATGTTTGGCATAGCTGTATGTGGAAATGAAAAAACCTACCGAGAACAGCTTCGGCAACATCCCAGTTTAGATGTGAAAACTAATGCAGTTGTGTTCCTCTTTTGCGCAGTGGAAGAGGAGTTCAAAGTGCTGAGCGCCCTTGAAGATACCGTGCGGATTGGTTTTCCAGTAGGGTGACGGAACAGGCTCGTGGTGAGTGATCCATTTTATAGTCAGCGTTCATAGAAGTCCCCTTTGTATCACGCATCTATCGCCCACTGTAACTCGATGGGAAGACATTAAACATGCGTTCTAACACCGGAGGAGACGTGACTTGGCTGAAGACAGCGAACTGAGCTGATATGGCTTGTCCGGAACTACAACTTCTCAACTGTCGCTGAAGCCTGCCGACGACAAGCCGGTCAACCTTCGAGGACGACACGGCTGCAATTTGCTCATCAATGGTCGCCAACTTACCATGGAACTCTGAATGGAGTCCTGGATAGATCAAAAAACCGGGATTTGGACGTTGGCAATGTAAGCGGACTACTAAGCTGTTATCTGGAGCTTTTGGAGGATGTCGCCTAATGTGAGCTTGCAGTCTGGCGGCCACTGCCCTTCAGCTCCGACACCCACTCTACGGGTGTTGTCCCCAACTCATCCCTTTTCTGTGTGTCTTAGATTTGTTTACTGCTTTTGATTACCACTATTGTATTGTAATTGTAACCGATAATAAATCATTAATCATTCATAATTAACGCGAACTCCCTCCGATCCCTAAAGCGATGAGGGAAAACTGTGCTAATGGCGGTTCTAGGGTAACCCTTATGGACGAAAGCTCAAGGTGGAATGTTTGAGAGGGAGAGAACCAGAAAGCCAAGCTCGGTTAAGCAGCGATGAAAACATCTCAGATACATCACATCACACACCACAAGAACTGCCAAAATAGTCGAAAGGAAAGTCGTGAACGGATCCGATTCCTTGACTTCAAACAAATTCCAGGCGCTATTGAAGTGCTATTACTTCAAAATCTCGGAATTCTTCCAGGTTCTTTGTGCCCTGACCACGAGTATGACATTCGCCTTCGAAGCAGGTGTCATTTGGTGTCATTAAGCCGCCTTCGTCGAAATAGACGAAACCTTGTATACAGAGGTTGTTTGACATCCTGATTGCCAGCACAATATTTGTTTCCGGGTATGGCGCAATTTGTTGCCATTAGGAGCCAACCAGGCACCAGCTTCCTTGCCAAAATTGTGTACAAGGGTTATTTGAGAACCATACAGGACAGGTGAGGCTAGAATCAGACATTCATATTTTGGTTCCGAAATCGCCCAAAGAGTGAGCAATGAAAGGTGGTGAGAAAGAAACTGTTGCGCGAGCTCTATAGGAAGCTTATACGTGCTCAATAGAACGATGTCGAATGAGATTACCGGGTTTCGTGCAAAGGATCGAAACGGGTAATGGACCATCTCACGAAAATGATGCGTTGATAAAATTTGACAAGAACGACGGGCAGTAGATGAGAAATGTCGGCATTCGAGAAGAATAACAAATCGCGCTATTGAGAAAATAGGCTCGATTGCGAGTATACATACAGTCCTCATCATTGGGGTACAAGGGTTATTTGCGAACCGGTGGGGCGTGTCAGCCAGAAGGAGTGCGCACACTGTTGAAGCCGTTCTCAGCCTTTTTGTTGCAACGCGTATGCGACAAAAAGTGGTAGAAAACGAGTAATACGAAGGATATTATACAGTAATGCACTTGCCCGCTTCAAAAACTGGTGCAGAACGACTTTGCCAAACCGCACCAAACGCAGCCGCACTGCCACGCCCCACCGGTCCGCAATGATGAGGACTGTACAAGTCAGTGTTTTATCCTCCCAGACGAATCTGGTACCAATTTACCGTCCCCGGAGGGTAGAAGGCTTGGTTGGCCTGGGCGGGAGTCGACCCGGGATTTGAACCGGCGCGCAC